CTGATAGCAGATATTATAACAAAATTACTCTTTAAAAAGAATTACGTACACTTAAATCAGACACTTCAAGATTAGACTGTACTTATATTACAGTAACTCACGTTTTGGACTGTTAGTGGAAATTTATTTTGTAGACGTCCTCACTGATTCTAATAGAAACATTTTGTTTCGTTTTGGAAACATACTACAGTCTTTTGAAAAACCTTGTTTCAACTATATGAATGCAAGTGACATCACACCTTTCAAACAGCATCAATTAACATCAAACAGCATCAATTAACATCAAACAGCATCAATCAACATCACACAGCATCAATCAACATTAAACAGCATCAATCAACATCAAACAGCATCAATCAACATCAAACAGCATCAATCAACATCAAACAGCATCTACAGGGGCTGGGTTCTTTTCAATGCGTACAATTTTCAGATTTTTGCCGCTTGAGCATGTTGCAGATGGTAAGGAATAACAGTTCACCGCTTTCTATGTCACATGCGAATATAAGTCGCACTTCGACACTTTAGACCACTAACAAATGAAATATGTTGTTCGGCAATGTGCTTTGATCACGTTTTACTGCTCTCCCATTCTCCTCTTTCACTGCTCTCCCATTCTCCTCTTTTACTGCTCTCCCATTCTCCTCTTTCCCTGCTCTCCCATTCTCCTCTTTTACTGCTCTCCCATTCTCCTCTTTCCCTGCTCTCCCATTCTCCTCTTTCCCTGCTCTCCCATTCTCCTCTTTTACTGCTCTCCCATTCTCCTCTTTCCCTGCTCTCCCATTCTCCTCTTTCCCTGCTCTCCCATTCTCCTCTTTCACTGCTCTCCCATTCTCCTCTTTTACTGCTCTCCCATTCTCCTCTTTCCCTGCTCTCCCATTCTCCTCTTTTACTGCTCTCCCATTCTCCTCTTTCCCTGCTCTCCCATTCTCCTCTTTTACTGCTCTCCCATTCTCCTCTTTCCCTGCTCTCCCATTCTCCTCTTTCCCTGCTCTCCCATTCTCCTCTTTTACTGCTCTCCCATTCTCCTCTTTCCCTGCTCTCCCATTCTCCTCTTTCCCTGCTCTCCCATTCTCCTCTTTCACTGCTCTCCCATTCTCCTCTTTCACTGCTCTCCCATTCTCCTCTTTCCCTGTGTAAGTTGTCAGTGAACATTATCTTTCAATGGAAAAAATATACCGCAAAAGAGACTGAGGTAGTTTATAAATAGCTTATTTACAACAGATTGGTAGTGGGGAAATTGGATCTTTTTTCTGCCAGCATCAGAGCAAATGAAAACGGACCTTTTTGAACTGTAGAGTAGAATAGAGGCAACGAGAAATAAGCGAAGGCTACCTGTATTACACATGAAAAACGTAAAATCCTACATTCTGTCCCCATCGTTTCATGCGAGAAAAATTCTGAAATTATAGAAACTGAGCCCAAAAATGTGAAATATGCGACTCTGTTAATTTTAACAAAGAATGATAAAGGAAAATAATCAGAAATTATGCAAAAAATGATCACATTTTGCTATATTATGCGGGGTGCATAAAACCACGGGGAGAGTACATTGGTCTACAACTTCATGAAACTGTCCGTCGAAGCAGAGACTGGGGAAGATAAAGGTCTGCTGTTGCAAGGAGGGGAACACCAGCCGACGAATACGGTTATGGTGATGGGCGACGGGTGACCCAGACACAGCTATTGGGGAAAGGCTACTGGTTATCCGGACACGACTATTGGGGATGGGCGCCTGGTTGTTCGGATACGGCTATTGGGGATGGGCGACTGGTTATCTGGTCACAGCTGTGTGACAGGCGACTGGTTATCTGGTCACAGCTGTGTGACAGGCAACTGGTTATCTGGTCACAGCTGTGTGACAGGCAACTGGTTTTCCGGGAATGGGCGACTGGTTATCTGATCACAGCTGTGTGACAGGCGACTGGTTTTCCGGGAATGGGCGACTGGTTTTTCGGACACGGATAAGGTGAGGGGGGGGGGTGCTAGTTATCTGGACACGGCTATGGGAATTGGCGACTGGTTATCCGGGCCAAAAAGTGAGAGTGAATCATAATCGCTTATTTCTAACACTTGAGGCAGAAAAGAGTCTTTTAAAACAAATGATAATGCTAGTACTCCCAAAACATGTGTCGTTTTTTTCTATAGTTGCATGGATCCTGGGCCTAGACAGCGCAATGTTTCTGTTCTAGAATGTCTCTGGTGGGCCGTTAGAATCATAATGGTCTGCCTGCGAATTCCCTCTTTTAATAATTAACGATTTTTCTTGAGTTATGTGAGAGGTGTTGACGATCTTAACGGCTCATTAATGCCTTCAGGGAGGCAAAGTATTCCCTATGGAGATTTGATTCGGAGATTTAATTCCTAGAAACGTATACTGTTCTGTTTTCTGTTACTTGCCAAAACATTTAAAATGCGATGATTCAGTTTGTGAATTGAAGTTCAGCTAAATGTCCTCTTTTATCGAAATCACCTTAATGTTTGTGTGTGTATATATGTG